ACCTGCCAATGCAGGGGACACGGCTTCGAGCCCTGTTCTGGGAAGGTCCCACATGCTGTGGAGCAACTAAGCCCATGGGTCACAACTACTGAGCCTGCGCTCTACAGCCCACGAGCCACAACTGAAGCCCGCGCGCCTAGAGCCTGTGCTCGGCAACAAGAGAAGCCGGCGCACCGCAACGAGAAGCCGGCGCACCGCAACGAGAAGCCGGCGCACCGCAACGAAGAGTAGCCCCCGCTCGCCGCAACTAGACAAAGCCCGCGCACGGCAGTTAAGACCCAACGCAGCCAAAATTAAATTAATTGATTAATTAAAAAAAAAGACAGGGCTTCCCTGGTGGCGCAGTGGTTGAGAGTCCGCCTGCCGATGCAGGGGACACGGGTTCGTGCCCCAGTCCAGGAAGATCCCACATGCCGCGGAACGGCTGGGCCCGTGAGCCATAGCCCTGGGCCTGCGCGTCCGGAGCCTGTGCTCCGCAGCGGGAGAGGCCCCAACAGTGAGAGGCCCGTGCACCACACACACACACACAAAAGATAACTACTGAAGTGGGGTGATCAGTGGTGGCAGGAGTGTTATTACTTTTCTAATCTTGTACATACTTAAAGTTCGTACCAAAAACAGCTGAAGGGAAATCTTAACAGCTTTTCTGCTCTACAAATGATTCTACTTTTCTATAACCCCCTTTTCTTCAAAAACTCATTTCAATTCTCATACACCTTCTAAAACAGACCAACCCATTCAATGGTTAGAAGCAAAACAACTTGGAGATATCATGAACACAGTATTTTCCATTTTGTCCTACTAGTTCTTCAGAGAACTTGCTAATTCACTACAGAAAGGCTGGTCCAAATCATCTCCCCCTGACTGGGAATGTAATTTCCAGCACTGTTCCCAAAACAAAGTAATTATTTCAAATAGTCAGGGCCTTAAGACTATCTACATCATCGTTGTCACCATAATAAATAATCTGAACATATATGTATATGCTAGGACCTATACTAAAATACGTGCATTATCTTCTTAAACCTAGACACAAGCCTATGAGAGATAATTATCTCTACTCACAGATCAGAAATTGAGACTCACAATTTAAGTACTGTGCCCAGCTATTAAACTGATGGAATTAAGATTTGAACCTAGGTCTAATTCTAAAGTCTGTGTTTTTCTACTTTTCCCATACTTATTTCCATGTTACATTAAAAATGGGACAGATGAACAAAATACAGAAATGACAGTCTAGTCAAATTGCACATCAAGCCCATATAAGAGCCATATTTTGAAACTGCCAACAACCATGCCTATCATTTCTTTTACTAAATTATAAACGCTGCCTTCTGATAAACAGAAAATAAAACAATTCAAGTTTTTCATTAACTATTTCACAAAATTATATTGGCAAATATTTACTGATTACTTATTGTGTGCCAAACACTGTTCTAGTTGCTTGGGGATGTAGCAGCAAAGAAGACATAGCCCTGTCATCTGGTGGAAGAAAATAAACAGTAAGCACATAAACAAATAAATAAGGTAATTTCATATACTGAAAATAAAGTGATGTGTTATAATGCAACTGAAGGAACCATTTGAAATAAGATCATTAGGGAAGGCCTTTCTGAAGAGGTAATATTTGAGCTTGGATCTAAATGATGCGAAGATAGGATTAGAAGACGCCTGAGAGGTAATAGGCAGCGCAGGTGGTGTAGGACCTTGTAGACCTTTTACTTGTCGTAAAAAGAAGTTTAACCCTTTAAGCCTGTTGCAATGGGATATGACTGAAGGATTTTAAAGCACAGAAATGACATCTGTTTATGCTACAGAAAGATCACTTTTGAAAAATGACAGTAATGGAAGCTTCAATCAAACAAATTAAAACAAGTCTGAATAAAATCAGTAGAACCCAGGGCTTCCCTGGTGGCGCAGTGGTTGAGAGTCCGCCTGTCGATGAGGGGACTCAGGTTTGTGCCCCGGTCCGGGAAGATCCCACATGCCGCAGAGCGGCTGGGCCCCTGAGCCCCCGCCC